GTTCCAGTGCTGGTTTGATAGATTTCGCGGCGTATTACACGGGAGCACCGATGATTCCTAGTTACATTCCACGTGGGTTTGCATGACTTTTGGGTATTCTGGAGCTCATGGTCAGATTTGTATTCAGTTTAGAAGATATGTACTTACTGCCTACATTCAGTGGTGCCTAAATTAGTAGCATCTCATTTTAGCAGGGCCATATGACATATATGTGCTTAATACAGTGACCTGATAAAGGGAAGGCTTACAAACGGGGCTTAAATACAGGATTACATCGCGCTGACCAGCTGGAACGGCCATTTATCCGAGTCACTGAATAGCCAGCGGCCTCGCCTAGAGACTGAATGCACAAGTATCCACACTAGCTAGCCTCACAAGAAGTCTAGGCCTAATCGGGACTTCAAATAGAATAGAATGTTTGTTTGTTCTCATCTATTTAAATAAGCTATAATCAATGAGACTTGTTTGGAACAATTTAGAAGAATAAATATGCAAAAGAAGGCCAACGAAGCAGCCACTGTGGTCAGAAGCAATGCGCGGGTTGTCGCGTGCATTTCTGTCCTTTTGCAAAATGAGTGCTTCCTCCCGGGTCCATTACATAAGATAGTTACGTTTGTAAAAAAGATCTTGATAGTGAAGGAAAAGAAGAATGCTAATTTCGAAAACCTAAGAAAAAAGTCTACGTCAGTTTAGGTCAAGGGTCAAGTCAAGAGCATTTCAGCTATACTAATGGAAAGCACGGATGAGATGAATTTTTACGAGAGGACGAAAAGTTTTATTGGACAAATTCTCTTCACCTTCTTTTGGAAGAGGTAGGCATCAAATGCAACTACATGAAGTGCTCACGAATAGTTATCGCTCACGAGTTCTTTACAATCACGTTCCACTCTGATCATGTGGGCGGGGTTGGGCCTACCAACGTGCCTGAATTATTGTTGTGTTCCTACTCACTAATTTTCGGAGAGACGCTCTGGTGAGTGAGGCACAATTGCAATGCGCTTCTCAGCTCACATGGGC